CGAACTTTAAACAAAAAAAAACAAAAAAAAAATGCCTGTCAAAGTTTTTTTTTTCGGTACGTCACAAGATTGGCAAAATAAAAGTGCCATACTCGAGCCATAACTATCAAAGCAAATCCTAATCTGGGGATTCGTGGGCTTGCGAAAATTTGACTTTTCTCTGGTTAGCCACAGGAGTGCCAAATATGTTCCAAAAGTGCCAAAGAAAGCCGAGAGGCATGCCAAACTTTTGCTTTCTCTGGCGTGCCAAAAGTCTACTCTTTCACGCGCTTCAGAGCAAAAGTAGATCAATTACTCGTTTGAAACACGATGCTCAGAAGTCACTATTGATCATGTCAAATGCTTCGAATGAACATTCAAAAATATCGTCGCCACCACCGCCGCCGCCACCACTAGGATTTGACCCCAGTCGCACCGAGTGTGAAGTGGGTGCAGCACCACGGAGACATGGCCGCTTCAGCTTTTTGATCGCTTGGCTTTCACAGTGGTCATCACAATGCAAGAGACTCACAAAGCTACGCTCGTTTTTACAACGCGTCGCCTAATAACGGCACGTGTTGAGGAGACATGCGCACATCAGTCTCGCGCAGTGCTCGCTCGATGGCAGCAGTTGATGTAACGTCAAACCCCTTACGGCACATCCGTTAGAGCATGTGTGATTCTCTGTCCGGATATTGACGTGCGGCACGAGTACAACAGTCCGGCGCAATCTGCGTTTGTAAAACCACCGTTGTCTTTCCCAGCGGCAGCAGAATCTTCTGCCCACTTTTGGGGTGGAGAAATCAAGGGACACCTAAAATAAAATTAAACGCTGCGGGCAAAATTAAACTAAATTTTTATTTATTAAGTAGCAGACCCCCGTGCCCTACCAATGCCTCATCCGTCATTTATCTCCAAACACAAAGAAATTAGAGCCAAAGGACCCGCCCGGATTACCTAAGTCTGGCTTTTGTTCGAGGATTGAAGCCCAATAATGCCAAATGCAAACCGAAATATAGGGTGGTTCAAGTCACCGGGCTCGATCTAAAATGGACCGTAAAAATCGACGCCTGCACGTAGCCATCTAAACTTTTCGTCTAAGGTGTAATTCACTGGTCGGTTCTTTCTTGTAAAATTATAAAGCGTAGCTCATTTTCTGTAAAAAATAAAGCCAAGGAACTTGCCAGGGTCTACGGCGGGCAGCAACGCAGACGACAGGGGTCCAGTAGCGGGGTTGTTTGGCGTTCGTACTGATAGATGGCGCTACCTCTTTATCGCGACGGCTTGCGACCACCGTGGTTTATTAAAATGAATATAATCCTTTTGAAATGTACCTTCGGTTTAAAAATAAATTCGAACAATAAAAGCAAAACAAAAAAAACGCGTCTGCATAACGGCGGCGCTGTTGCTGCCAACGGATTTCGTCTGCGTGTCGTCTGCTACCTTACGCTGGTCGGCTGCACCTTCGGACGCTGCTCCCGACGCCATCTATGAATAGGAGCGCCAAACACACCCCGCTGCTGGACTTGGTCGTCTGGGTCGCCGCCCACCGTAGACCCTGGCAAGTTACTTGGCTCTATTTTTTACTAAAAGAGAACCACGTTTTGTAATTTTACAAGAAAAAACCGGCTTGTGAAATACACCTTTGACGAAAAGTTTCGATGGCTGCGTTCAGGCGTCGATTTTTACGGTCCATTTTAGATCGAGCCTGGTGACTTGAACCACCCTATACAATATAGATATATATATATATATATATATATATAGAGCCTAACTCCGGCACTTGTTTGGCGGTTTGGAATTAAAGACGCCAGATGACAGCCAAACTATTAGAAAGTGAAGCCTAACTTTGTTTATTGTTTGGCGATTTGAGAGAAAACATGTCAGATGACAGTCGAACTACCAGGCAGTAAACCTAACTGTGGCGCTGGTGTGGAGATTTGGGCCCAAAGATGCCATATGACAGTTCAACTATCAGGAAGTAAAGCCTAACTTTGGCCCTTGTTTTGCAGTTTGGGCCCAAAGATGCCAGATGAAAGCCGAACTACCAGGCAGTAAGCTTAGCTCTGGCAATTGTTTGGTGATTTTGGCCCAAACAGGCCAGACGACAGCCGAACTACAGGGGAGTGAAGCCTAACTCTTGCACTTGTTGGACGAATTAGGGTCAGGATACCCAAACTCTCGCCAAAGAAGGTCAGATCTGGTACTAATTTGGCTTCTTCGGGATTTCCAAAGCCCCAATCTCCTAGAAAAATTCAAAATGTTAGTCCAGAACTCTGTGCTACATGGTTAGTGTCTTCATTTTACTATGGTGCCTGGAACGCGTCTCAGACCGGTGTGTGTACCGCGTCCAAAAAGGTGCTCTCCGGACTTCCGCCTGGCGACGTCATAAAAGTGTCGTGCTGTCGCCGGACGCCATCCTGGAGTTGTCCCAGCAGAGGCATCAGATGTGGCAGACGCCTGTTCTGCTGCAGGTCGCTTTCTAGTGTAATAGTTCATAGAAGCTTCGGCAGCCAGAAGTCGGGGCGCCGCGATGACAGCGACACTCGCGGTCGCTCGTGCTTTTCGACAGTATTTTAAGACCAACCGCCAGGATTGCGATTTCCGGCAGCAGGACACTCCAGCTTCTATGACTATATTTTCTCCCACTTCGGGACTACCTTTGATACCATACTTTCGCGACGTCCTGTATGTCAAGTCTGGCGTCTAAAGCCACCTGTAGTTCCGCGATCAGGCGCGTGGGAACGTCTGACATCACCAGCTTTTCTACAACTTTTTATCATCGTCTGTAACGCCCGTAATGCGCGGCTATGAAAGCGGCACGTCCGCGTCCGCCATCGCTTACGTCCGTTTTCTATTCCGCACCAGTCTAAAACTGTATGCAAAGCTTGCAAGACGCGACCATGAAAGCGGCGTCCTAGCGTTCCATCGTGCACGAGCCGCAGTCCAATAAAAATGTCCGTCAGCGTCTGTCGATGTGAAGTAAAAATGACAGAAAGGACTAAACAAAAACGGGAAAATAAATCTGCAATTTTTCCTTTTTTTTTGTTTTCTTCTTGTTTACTTATGTGGCGTCAGCGAGCAAGGTGTGGGAGCGTCAGGACCAGGGTGTAAGATAGACAGGTGGGGAAACGAGAGCCAAATGAGTGACCGCATTGTGTCCCCCTCGGTTTTCTCTTTTTCTGTGGCGCCATCTATGGGGAGCACCGCGAACTCTCACTCCGGGTGGGCGACCGATGGCGACCGGCTAAACTGACGGAGATGATTTCTCGTGGATTGTTAATGAAGGACTGTCCTACTCTCGGTTTATTTTGCGCACTCTCCCATAGACTTCCACGCAAATCCAATTCCGATTTTTTTCCTTTTGCCGCAGCGCCATCTGTCGCAAGTGGGGAGTACCCGCAAGAAGACGAGTACACAATCCGGTCACGGCGCTGCGGTAGGCTTCTATGGGCCGTTTCCCCACCTGTCCATCTTACACCCTGGTCAGGACCAACAGCTAAAAAAGGACCCAAATTTACTGGCTCAACTCGGCTAGGTGCACTGCTCAAAACTTGAGAGCTACGGGCCTTCCTTTGCGAAATGACGGAAACATGCCTGGACAAACCTCATAAAAGGCGAACACTCGATTGCTTCCAGTGAAATGGCTCGCAATTTTTTACCTGCCTAAGTCACCTCTCAGTAGAAAACCCATAGTCGCAATCACGACGGTTGCACAATTCTCAGAGTAGCATAGCCAATTTAACGGAAACCAACACATTTATTCTGCATCAGTACGCGTAAACGAACAAATCAAGGCGGATCTAGCAAACTAATCGACGTGGAATGCTAGGCTTACGTGAGTCATGCTACGGAAACAAGCACCCGCGCAGCGCTTCTGAAGGCGGGAACTTGCGTCAGTTGTTGGGAGCAAACCACGTCGGTTGTGGATATCTTCCTTTTAGAACCAGAACCTCGGTGAACGCCAAATGGTTTTCACTCGTAAAAACAGGCTAGCTCAATGTGCTTCTTGCTACGTGAATTTGCTGGCCACAAGCGCCAGCAGCCATGTGTGTTACCGCTTGAAACCAAAGTGGAAAAGACGATTTAATGATATTTTAGAAATAAAAAATGCCTTTATCCATGAAGATTGTGTCTCAGACATAGATAGAAAACGTCGAATGAAATATACAGCGACAAAGGAAAAACTTTTATTGCGAACATTCCAGACGTCAATAATCTCTCTAACCAATGAGAGCAAAGAAATGATGCGTAACTGAAAACACTCCTGGGAGGGGCCTAAAGCAGGCTATTTCCACCTAAATAGCGTCAGAGGGCGTACATACTGCGGGATATTTTTTTTTTCTTTTGGAAAATTTTAAAGAAACAGACTTGCCCCAAATAATGCTTTTTTATTTTTTTTAAATGTTCCTCTAAAAGGAAACTTAAACGGTTCTGCACTTGAGGAAAACACTTAACTTTTTTTCATTTGTCCTCCTGGATCACGGATTTCGAGATTATTATTCAATTTGATGCACTCAGGCTGCAGATATCAGTTTTTAAGTTACCGCTGAAACCCCTCTTTCCCGGGGCGTGACGTCATATTTTGAGTTTTCGGAATCTCCGCTCTCGCGCATCTTCAGCGCCTTTAAAAGCTATGCACACGCACTCTTGCAATTTTCAGAAAGGTCAGAAGGATACGTCACGACTGATGTCAGCATGGGTGAATATACCTGGCAAGCTTGCAATTGCACGGGTTGCCCACACGAGCGACACGCGCTTCGCGGTCCAAAGACCCTAGTATGACGTCACGACTGGTCGGAGGTTTTTTATGTTTTCTCACGTTTAGTTACATCTCAGGGGAAAAGCAACGTGATATTCAGATTCGCTGAATAGAAAAGCGCAGAATCGACCTCTAACTCGTCTTTTAAGATGTGTTTTAGCTTCCCTTTAATGATTACGCATGTGTTTCTATCTCATACTTGACTTGCTGGTTTCGCGTAGTATTGCAGGCATACTTTAATGTTTCGCTTGTTTTGCAGGTTCCTATCGGACTTCTTTTTGTCTTCTTGAAGAGTGCATCTTGTGCGGACGTTGCACCTGACCACGTAAAAGTCGGATATAATTTCGATGCATCCCAACCCGTCGTGAAGCATGCGACCGTTTCAGCTATTAAAAAACGGCACGTCACGATCCCTTTCACAGAAATCAGAAGCACTACAACGGTGCATCCAGCTTTTGCTGTTTATCAAAATGCACCAATTATTACTCGTGTGTACCAACAAACTGCTGGGCTGTCTACTTCTCCCGTAGCATCACTAGTGACCAGCAACAATGAGCCTCCACTCATCGCCGCTGGTACCACCCACCCAGCAGTTCCGGTCCTGGGGCCTATCTACCACCCTGCTACGGTTGTTGCCACCAGACCAACGTATGGAGTTGTCCACGCTACTCCGGCTGTTTCTGGCTTGAACAATGCTGATGCTTTCCATGCCACGCCAGCTACTGTTATTGTGAAGACTCACCCCGCCTTCGCTGCCTACAAGTCCGCTCCTGCAATCATGCGTGCGTACCAATATGCTCCCGGCTTCAGTCGTGTTTACCACCAGATTTCAGTAGTTCCTCCATCCGTCACTCACATTTACCATGCGTCCCCGCCATTATCCGCTGTTCCAGTTCTGGCCAGTGTGACCAAGTATACAACCTTTCAAGCTGGTCATACGCTCCCTACCGTTGCTACAACTCCTGAGTTTGCCCGCTACCCAACTGTGCCTGCCTTCATGCGTACCTACGAGTACACTCCCGGGTCTGACTTCGGTTATCCCACTTCATCTGTGGTACCACCTGCGACTGCTGTTTCTAAACTGACGACTTTTGCTCGTCTAAACAACGCTCCGGAAGTCACAAAATTAATTACAACTCCAGTTGTAACCCATACATACCAGGATACTCCAGGCACTGCTGCTGCTCCGCTTTCAACTACAGTTACCAAGGATACCATCTTGCAACCTGCTCCCCCCGTATCTACAGTGACCAAGTATTCGACGTTGCCAGCTACTCCGGCCGCCACTACTTTGAACACAAACGCTGCGTTTACACGTTATCAGTCTGTTCCGGCCTTCATGAGTTCCTACACGTATACTCCTGGTTTTGAGCTTGGTTATCCAATTGTTTCTTTGGTTCCACCCGCGACTGCTGTTTCTAAATTGACGACCTTTGCCAATCTCAACAACGCCCCAGAAGTCACAAAATTTTCTACAGCTCCAGTCGTAACCCAAGCACACCAGGATCCTCCAGTCGTTGCTGCTGCTCCACTTCTGACTACAGTTACCAAGGATACCATCTTGCAGCCTGCTCCCCTTGTATCTACAGTGACCAAGTATTCGCCCTTGCCAGCTGCTCCAGCCGCAGCTACTGTTTTCACAAACGCTGCGTTTTCACGTTATCAGTCTGTACCGGCCTTCATGAGTTCAAACGAATACACTCCTGGTCTTGGCCTTGGTAATCCCACCCTTTTTGTGGTCCCACCTACAGCAGCTGTTTCTAAACTGACGAATTTCGCCAGTCTCAGCAACGCCCCGGAAGCCACAAAATTCGCTACAGCTCCAGACGTAACCGAAACATACCAGGATCCTCCAATCGTTTCTGCTGGTGAACGTTTGCCTACAGTTATCAAAGATTCCATCTTGCAAGTTAATTCCCCCGCACCTGCGGTGACCAAGTATTCGACATTGCCAGCTGCTCCAGCCGCCGCTACCCTGAATACAAACGCTGCGTTTACACGCTATCAGTCTGTACCGGCCTTCATGAGTTCCAACGAATATACTCCTGGGTTTCGCCTCGGCAAACCCACTATTTCTGTGGTTCTACCTGAGACACCTGTATCTAAACTGATAACTTTTACCAGTATTAACAACTTCCCAGCAGTCACAAAATTCTCTACAGCACCAGTCGTAACACAAACATACCCGGATCCTGCAGTCGTTGCTGCGGATTCACATTTGCCTTTAATTGCCAAGGATTTCATCTCTCAAGCTGCTCCCCCCGCATCTGCCGTGACCAAGGATTCGACCTCGCAAGCAGCTCCAGCCACCGCTACTCTGATAACGAACGCTGCGTTCGCACGTTATCTGTCTGTCCCGGGCTTTATGAGTTCCTACGAGCATACTCCTGAGTTTGGCCTCAGTTACCCCACTGTTCCCCTGGCTCCCCCTGCGACTGCTATTTCTAAAGTAATAACTTTTGCCAATCTGAGCAACCCTCCGGAAGCCGCAAAATCGACTACGGTTCCAATCATAACCCAAACATACCAGGATCCTCCAGTCATCGCTGCTGGTCCACATTTGCCTTCTGGTGTTAAGGATTTCATCCCGCAAGCTGCTCCCCCCGTATTCACTGTGACCAAGTATTCGACCCTTCAAGCTGCTCCCGCCGCCGGCTCTCCGTTCACAAACGCTGCGTTTAAACGTTATCAGTCTGTTCCGGCCTTCATGAGTTCCAACGAATATACTCCTGGCTTTGGCCTTAGTAATCCCACTATTTCTGTGGTTCCACCAGTGACTGCTGCTTCTAAACTGGCGGCCTTTGCCACCCTCAACAACGTCCCTGAAGTCACAAAATTCTCTACAGCTCAGGTCGTAACTCAAACATACCAGGATCCTCCAAACGTTGCTGCTCGTTCACTTTTGCCTTTAGTTTCCAAGGATTTAATCTCGCACGCTGCTCCCCCCGTGCCTACTGTGACCAAGGATGCAACCTCGCAAGCTGCTCCAGCCACCGCTACACTGATCAGGAACTCTGCGTTCACACGTTATTTGTCTGTCCCGGGCTTCATGAGTTCCTACGAGCATACTCCTGAGTTTGGCCTCAGTTACCCCACTGTTCCCCTGGCTCCCCCTGCGACTGCTATTTCTAAAGTAATAACTTTTGCCAATCTGAACAACCCTCCGGAAGCCGCAAAATCGACTACGGTTCCAGTCATAACCCAAACATACCAGGATCCTCCAGTCATCGCTGCTGGTCCACATTTGCCTTCTGGTGTTAAGGATTTCATCCCGCAAGCTGCTCCCCCCGTATTCACTGTGACCAAGTATTCGACCCTTCAAGCTGCTCCCGCCGCCGGCATTCCGTTCACTAACGCTGCGTTTACACGTTATCAGTCTGTTCCGGCCTTCATGAGTTCCAACGAATATACTCCTGGCTTTGGCCTTGGTAATCCTACTATTTCTGTGGTTCCACCTGCGACTGCTGTTTCTAAACTGGCGGCCTTTGCCACCCTCAACAACGTCCCTGAAGTCACAAAATTCTCTACAGCTCAGGTCGTAACTCAAACATACCAGGATCCTCCAAACGTTGCTGCTGATTCACTTTTGCCTTTAGTTTCCAAGGATTTAATCTCGCACGCTACTCCCCCCGTGCCTACTGTGACCAAGGATGCAACCTCGCAAGCTGCTCCAGCCACCCCTACACTGATCAGGAACTCTGCGTTCACACGTTATTTGTCTGTCCCGGGCTTCATGAGTTCCTACGAGCATGCTCCTGAGTTTGGCCTCGGTTATCCCACTGTTCCCCTAGCTCCACCTGCGACAGCTGTTTCTAAACTAACAACTTTCGCTAGTTTAAACATCCCTCCGGAAGCCGCAAAATCGACTACAGTTCCAGTGGTAACCGGAACATACCAGAATCCTCAGGCTGTTGCTGCTGCTCCAGCTTTGCCTCCATTTACCAAGGATTCCAACGTGCAAGTTGCGCCCCCCTTACCTGCTGTGGCCAAGTATTCGATATTGCCAGCTGCTCCAGCCGCCACTACATTGAACACAAACGCCGCGTTTTCACGCTATCAGTCGGTTCCGGCCTTCATGAGTTCCAACGAATATACTCCTGGCTTTGGCTTCGGTAATCCCACTATTTCAGTGTTTCCACCTTCAACAGCTGTTTCTAAAGTGACAACTTTTACTAGTCTCAACAACGTCCCAGAAGTCACACAATTCTCTACAGCTCCAGTCGTAACCCAAACTTTCCAGGATCCTCCAGTCGTTGCCACTGATTCACATTTGCCTTTAGATGCCAAGGGTTTAATCTCGCACGCTGCTCCCCCAGTGCCTACTGTGACCAAGGATTCGACCTTGCAAGCGGCTCCAGCCACCGCTACACTGATCAGTAACTCTGCCTTCACACGTTATTTGTCTGTCCCAGGCTTCATGAGTTCCTATGAGTATACTCCTGAGTTTGGCATCGGTTATTCCACTGTTCCTCTGGCCCCACCTGCAACAGCTGTTTCTAAACTAACAACTTTCGACAGTTTGAACGTCACTCCGGAAGCCGCAAAATCGACAACAGTTCCAGTGGTAACCCAAACATACCAGAACCCTCAGGTTGTGGCTGCTGCTCCGGCTTTGCCTACAGTTACCAAGGGTTCCATCTTGCAAGTTGCTCCTCCCTTACCTGCGGTGACCAAGTATTCGGTATTGCCAGCTGCTCCAGCCGCTGCTACATTGAACACAAACGCTGCGTTTACACGCTATCAGTCAGTTCCGGCCTTCATGAGTTCCAACGAATATACCCCTGGCATTGGCCTCGGTAATCCCACTATTTCTTTGTTTCCACCCGCGGAAGCTGTTTCTAAACTGACAACTTTTACCAGTCTCAACAACGTCCCAGAAGTCACACAATTCTCGTCAGCACCAGTCGTGACCCAAACCCTCCAGGATCCTCCAGTCGTTGCCGCTGATTCAAATTTGCCTTCAGTTGTAAAGGATTTCATCTCGCAAGCTGCTCCCCCTGCATCTATTGTGAAAAAGTATTCGACCTTGCAAGCTGCTCCGGCCGCCGGTGCTCCGTTCACAAACGCTGCGTTTACACGTTATCAGTCGGTTCCAGCGTTCATGAGTTCTAACGAATATACTCCTGGCATTGTTCTCGGTAATCCCACTATTTTTGTGTCTCCACCTGCGACTGCTGTTTCTAAACTGACGACGTTTGCGAGTGTGAACGCTGCTCCGGAAGCCGCAAAATCTACTGCAGTTCCGGTCGTAACCCAAACATACCAGAGTCCTCAAGTTGTTGCTCCTGCCCCAGCTTTGCCTACAGTTACCAGGGATTCCATCTTGGAAGTTAATCCCCCCGCACCGGTGACGAAATATTCGATATTGGCAGCTGCTCCAGCCGCCGCTATTTTCAATACAAACTCTGCGTTTACACGTTATCAGTCTGTTCCGGCCTTCATGAGTTCCAACGAGCATACTCCTGGATTTGGCCTCGGTTATCCAACTGTTCCTTTCGCTCCACCTGCCACTGTTGTTTCTAAACTGACACCTATATCCACTCTCAACACCGCTCCTGCAGTCACAAAATTAATTGAATCTCCGGTAGAAAGTCTAACTTCCCACGCTGCTCCAAGCGTTGCAGCTGCTCCACCTTTGCCTACTGTAATCAAATATTCGTCCCTGCAACCTGCTGTTCCTGTACCTTTGGTGACCAAGTATTCGACCTTGCAAACTAATCCACCCGCCACTACTGTGTCCTCCCATGCTGAGTTTACTCGATATCAGTCTGTCCCGGCTTTCATGAGTTCTTACGAGAAAACTCCTGGATTTGATCTCAATTATCCGACTGTTTCACTAGTTCCACCTTCGACTGCAGTTTCTAAACTACCAACTTTCCCCAGTCACAACGCCGCTCCGGAAGTCACAAAAATCACTGCGGCTCCAGTTGGGACCCAAACTTACCAGGTGCCTCCAGTGCTTGCTGCAGTTCCACCTTTGCCTACGGTGACCAGGTATTCTTCCTTGCATGGTGCTCCCGGCGCGGAAACTGTTGCCACAAACGCTGCGTTTACGCGATATCAGTCGGTTCCTGCCTTTATGAGTTCCTACCAGTATACTCCAGGATTTGGCCACGGTTACCACACTGCTTCTGTAGTTCCACCTGCGTTGGCGGTTCCTAAACTGGCAAATTACGTCAGTTTCAACACTGCTCACCAAGTCGGAACATTTATTGAAGCCCCCGTTGTAAGCCGTGTTTACCATGCCGGTCAAGTCGTTGCCCCTACTTTACCTGCACCTGCGGTGAGCAAGCATACGACATTTCAACTTGCTCCTACCGTATCTACAGTAGACACAAGTACTGGGTTTGACCGTTACCAGTCTGTCCCTGCGTTCATGCGCTCTTACCAGTATTCATCGGGCTTTGAACAGGGGCATCATACCGTTTCCGCGGCTCCACAATTGATAGTTCCTTCTAAACTGACAACATACCCCAATAACAAGAAAGCTACAGGTTTCATAAGCTTCACAGGAGCCCCAGCTATACACCATATTTACCAGTCGTCCCCTGCCGTGGCCACGGTTGCACCTGTGCCTACGGTGACGAAGTATTCAACCTTCCAAGGTATTCCTGCTGTTGCCACTGTGGCCAGAAACACCGCGTTCGCACGTTACCAGTCTGTTCCGGCCTTCATGCGTTCCTACCAGTATACCCCTGGCTTCGGACGCGGGTACCACACCGTCTCTGTGGTTCCACCTGGGACTGATTCTTCTAAAGTTGAAACTGATACCGCTTATAATGCCGCTCCAGCAGTACACCAGATTTACCAGGCTGCCCCAGCTTTGCCTAAAGTGGCCATATATCCATCTGGGCCACCTGTTTCAGCAGTGACTACGTTCGCGACAAGCCCACAGCTTGCGCATTATCCAAGAGTTCAAGACTTTACTCGCTCCGCCAAGTATAGTTTTGGTTTGGGCCAAAACTACCACACAGTCGCCGTTGTGCCACCCTCTACCACTATTTCTAAGGTATCAACTTACAGCCCTCGTAACCCTACTCCCATAGTTACGTCTTACGCTGCAACACCAATCGTACACCCCGTATACAGGGCTCCTCAAGTCGTCCCCACTGGCCCATCTGTGTCCAGATTGACAAAGTATTCTTCTTTCCAATCGTATCCGGCTGTCTCTACCGTTGTGTCAAAGCCAGGTTTTGCTCGTTACCAGTCTGTGCCTGCCTTCATGAGTTCCTACCAGCCCACTCCTGGCTATGGTCGCAGCTACCACACCGTTTCCGTTGTACCACCGGCGACTGCTGTCCCTAAACTATCAACTTACGCATCTTATAATCCTGCTCCAGCAGTAACAACTTACTCAGCAGCGGCAGTGGTACGCCCCATACACCACGCTTCTCCAGCTGTTTTCACAGCTCCAGCTGTCTCGAGCTTGACCAAGTATTCGTCTTTCCAGTCTTATCCGGCTGTCTCTACCGTTGTGTCAAAACCAGCTTTTACCCGTTATCAGTCAGTGCCCGCATTTATGAGTTCCTACCAGTCTACTCCTCGCTTTGGTCGCGGATACCACACCGTTTCCGTTGTCCCACCGGCGACGGCTGTCTCTAAATTACCAACTTATGCATCTTATAACCCTGCACCAGCAGTCCCAACTTACACTACAACGCCAGTTGTACGCCCCATATATCACGCTGCTCCAGCCATTCCCACTGCTCCAGCTGTGTCGAGTTTGACCAAGTATTCCTCTTTCCAATCTTCCAATCCAGCTTTTGTTCGCTATCAGTCTGTGCCCGCCTTTATGAGTTCCTACCCGTCTACTCCTGGCTATGGTCGAAGCTACCATACCGTTTCTGTTGTACCACCCGCGACTGGTGTCTCTAAACTATCAACTTACGCATCTTATAATCCTGCTCCAGCAGTAACAACGTATTCAGCAGCGCCAGTAGTACGTCCCATATACCACGCTGCTCCGGCTGTTTTTACAGCTCCAGCTGTGTCCAGTTTAACCAAGTATTCTTCTTTCCAATCCTATCCGTCTGTCTCTACCGTTATGTCAAAACCAGCTTTTAACCGTTATCAGTCCGTGCCTGCATTTATGCGTTCCTACCAGTCTACTCCTGGTTTTGGTCGCAGCTACCACACCGTTTCTGTTGTACCACCGGCGACTGTTGTTTCTAAACTTCGAAACTACGCATCTTATAATCCTTCTCCAGAGGTACAAACCTACACTACAACGCCAGTTGTACGCCCCATATACCACGCTGCTCCAGCCGTTTCTATTACTCCAGCTGTGTCGACCTTGACCAAGTATTCATCCTTCGAATCTTTAAAACCAGCTTTTGTTCGTTATCAGTCTGTGCCTGCATTTATGAGTTCCTACCACTCTACACCTGGCTATGGTCGCAGCTACCACACCGTTTCTGTTATACCGCCGGCAACTGCAGTCTCTAAATTTTCAACTTACTCATCTTACAATCCTGCTCCAGCAGTCCCAACCTACAGTACAACGCCAGTTGTACGCCCCATATACTCCTCTGCTCCAGCCGTTCCCATTGCTCCAGCTGTGTCGAGCTTTAACAAGTATACATCGTTCCAATCTTTAAAACCAGGCTTTGTTCGTTATCAGTCTGTGCCTGCCTTTATGAGTTCCTACCACTCTACGCCTGGCTATGGCCGTAGCTACCACACCATTTCTGTTGTACCACCGGCAGCTGCTGTCTCTAAACTTTCAACTTACTCATCTTACAATCCTGCTCCAGCACTCCCAACCTACACTACAACCCCGGTTGTACGCCCCATATACCACGCTACTCCAGCCGTTCCCATTGCTCCAGCTGTGTCGAGCTTTAACAAGTATACATCGTTCCAATCTTTAAAACCAGGCTTTGTTCGTTATCAGTCTGTGCCTGCATTTATGAGTTCCTACCACTCTACGCCTGGCTATGGCCGTAGCTACCACACCGTTTCTGTTGTACCACCGGCAGCTGCTGTCTCTAAACTTTCAACTTATTCATCTTACAATCCTGCTCCAGCACTCCCAACCTACACTACAACCCCGGTTGTACGCCCCATATACCACGCTACTCCAGCCGTTCCCATTGCTCCAGCTGTGTCGAGCTTTAACAAGTATACATCGTTCCAATCTTTAAAACCAGGCTTTGTTCGTTATCAGTCTGTGCCTGCCTTTATGAGTTCCTACCACTCTACGCCTGGCTATGGCCGTGGCTACCACACCGTTTCTGTTGTACCACCGGCAGCTGCTGTCTCTAAACTTTCAACTTACTCATCTTACAATCCTGCTCCAGCACTCCCAACCTACACTACAACCCCGGTTGTACGCCCCATATACCACGCTACTCCAGCCGTTCCCATTGCTCCAGCTGTGTCGAGCTTTAACAAGTATACATCGTTCCAATCTTTAAAACCAGGCTTTGTTCGTTATCAGTCTGTGCCTGCCTTTATGAGTTCCTACCACTCTACGCCTGGTTATGGTCGTAGCTACCACGCCGTTTCTGTTGTACCACCAGCAGCTGCTGTCTCTAAACTTTCAACTTACTCATCTTACAATCCTGCTCCAGCACTCCCAACCTACACGACAACACCGGTTGTACGCCCCATACACCACGCTACTTCAGCCGTTCCCATTCCTTCAGCTGTGTCGAGCTTTAACAGGTATACGTCTTTCCAATCTTTAAAACCAGGCTTTGTTCGTTATCAGTCTGTGCCTGCCTTTATGAGTTCCTACCAGTCTACTCCTGGCTTTGGTCGCAGCTACCACAGCCTTTCTGTTGTACCACCGGTGACTGCTGTCTCTAAGCTATCAACCTACGCATCTTATAATCCTGCTCCAGCAATTTCTGTTATCACAGACCCGGCATTCATCCGGTACCACGCAGCCCCCGCCGTCATGCGCGCTTACACCTATGCCCCAGGTTTTACTCGGTTCTACAATTCCCGTCCTATTGTGTCGACTCCTGTTTCTCTTTCGCAGCTGACAAAACACACTTCTTACAACGTTGCTCCAGCACGTCCTACTTACAATACAGACCCAGCTATAAGCCCAATTTTCCAGGCTTCTCCGGTTGCTGGCGGAGTTTCCTCTCTGCCTAGTGCCTTACAGCTTTATTCTCATGTTGCCAGTGCTATCACAGACCCGGCATTTATACGCTACCAATCTGCCCCGGCCGTTATGCGGGCATATCACTACGCTCCCGGCTTTACTCGGGTCTACCATTCTAGTCCAAGTGTCACAAGTGCTGCACTAATTCCACACCTTACACGTCCTCCCACCGTCGACATCAATCCGGCTGTCACTGTCTCCAAATTAGCTCCAGCTACATCGGTCGTTGCCCACCCCGTCTATCCGTCCGGTCTGGGCGTCACCCAAGTCCATCCATCGACTTCCGTCACCAGCCACGTTGTCCGACCCCCCGCTGTTGTTTCCGCTCCAGGCTACGCCACTGTTCACGCGGCTCCAGCTGTGTCTAGCGTCACCAAGTATTCAACTTTCCACGCTGCTCCAGTTGTCTCGCCAGTGATCACGCACCCGTCATTTGTGGCTTACCAGTCAGCTCCCTTCATCACACGTATTTATCACACTGTTCCAGTCGTTACCCGCATCTACTATTCTGTGCCTCTGACAACCGTAGGACCAGTTCTTTCTTATCGCAAAACTCATAATGTCGTCGTTCCTCCTGCTGCGACCACCGTCCACGTAGCGCCGTCCGTTTCGATCTCCCGATCTTCGCCCGTCACGACAACCATCTACGGAGGCTCTTCCGCCGGTGCTGCAAGTCCTGTTGTGGCTACTGTCCTTCATGACGCTCCCAATTTGCCGAATGCTGGAATTGGCCACTCCAGTACCCACGTCACCGTGAACTCTGCCCCAGCTGTCACCACTGCCCACGTCCCGGGGGTAGTTTCCCACAGCGTCACCCATGAGTACGAGGTTGGAGCTCTTGGGTTCGGCGACGGTCTGCCGACGTATGGCCACAACTACGCATATGGTCTTGATGGCCTCAACTACAGAGAACTCCTGCGGAAAAAGAAGTGTAAGTTCACAGTATCTTATTTTAGAGGAATGTTTAGAAAATGCACAATTTTATCGTCGCTGCTTTTTGTTAGTATACAGGGCGTACAAATGCGATATATATATATATATATATATATATATATATATATATATATATATATATATATATATATATAAAATTTAAACATTCTCTAGATATGCAAATGATTACCTTAAACACTGACAACAAATATTAATATTTCTTTTTGTTCTGTTACAGAAATCTGCTCTCAAGTGGTCCAAATACTGCGTGTCGGCTGGTCTCCGACAAAATAATGCGTGAAATAAACCGTATCACATTATAAACAATCAAGTTCATGCATGTAAGTTCATTGCTAGATTCAAAATTTGACTGCAAAGATGGTCCTATGTGTTTATATATTCAATAAAATTGAATATAAGTTATTTCAAGTATTTTCATTACTTAAGAACTAAACATTTTGGTTTCCGTACTCAAAACAATGAGACTATTAGGCACATCTGGCAAAAGAAAAGGAAAAACAACCCCACAAACACTTTATACAGAAAAATTCACGATGATTGCTGTTAAAGGCACCAACAGCATACCCTAAGCGGAAATAAAACTTTTAAATAAAATGTCGTCACTTGTACGCGGCACAGTCATGGATATGTTACCATGGAACATCTACCCTTTCCACTGAAAGGGACACTGACAGGGAATTTATGCTCGCCGAGGTTTTTAGTTGTACGTGACACATGAGAGGCCAACTACCCAGAACAAAATTTGCGGCTCGAAATTCGGTTTCTTTCCGCCCGAAAACCACCGATCGAGAACTGGCCTGCATGAGTCGTGCCCACTCTCTTCTCCGTGGTCGCTGGCTGTTTTTTAAGGTTTAGACACGATCACCAAATAGAATCAAAGTCGTAGGTCATCGAAGACACGCACACCATATTAAATATAAAAAAAGAATAATGATACCCATTTTTGGGGGATTCTAAAAAGCTGCAAATGCGTTGTTTCGGGGAGAAAAAGTATCACAGCCACGTGACTACCGCCACGTCTCTCCTCCTCTATATTTTGTCTTCCTCCGAAGTTCAGTTTCGGTTTCGGGCGAGTTTTTTAACTTTATAAAAATATACGTGGCACTGTAGGAAAATATTGATTGGGCAGTCTTCTGACATCATTGTAAATCGCCCGGCAAAAAAAAAAAAAAAATTGGAGGTGTTAGTGTGCTTTTAAGATCCTGTTGTTCACAAAAATGGAATGTCCTGCAATATTGATTTATTTAGCTGCTTATTTTGTAAAAAACATTTTTAGGCAAAAATAAATTATAAAGTGGAAGATCTCGGCATACTGCGGAACGTATACATTTGGTGAAAAAACACCCTTAAAATATCAAATATGGTATTTCCGGGCTATAGTGCGCACTTACATATATTATTCGCTGGGAAAAGTTTTGTCGAAATGCTTCCTTAGATAATCTACACGTGGTGCACAACCTGCGCAAGGTGTTGATATCGTTCATATGTCAGCCCTCTTGATGATGTTCACCACGTTCAGTAGTACAAAAGGAGAATTCCATGATGAACAATTCTTCTCTTCGCAGTTCTTGTTGGTTTACTAATTTGTATGTGTTTAAGTAAAAAGAAAATTAGTGCCCTTCCTGTCTGCGAAGAAGGATAACTAGCGAAGCTGTATTGGAATGACTATATTGTAGGGCTGGGCAATTAATCGATTAACCTTCCGATTAATCGATTAAGTCTTTAATCGCGATCAAATATTATAACCGGTTAATCGGTTTTTTAATCCGTACTCAAAAAGAACTATGGCTCTACCCTGGACGACCTGCCCGAACTATAGGGGTGACTCGTGCCCCCCCCCCCCTTTCCAGATCCGGTCGTTCTGTCCCGAGCGGTTTTCCGTTCCCAGCCAGGTGCTATGAGCAAGGTTCAATTATCGCGCTCGCAAAGCGTCACATGTTCGAGGATATACATTACAGTTCTGCCGAGGCCAGAAGAAAAAGCCGGGCCCGCTACTGATCCCCGCGCGACCGCGAAACTTCACGTGTTGAGGATCTATTACTCATCCTGCCCAGGCAAGACAAACAGGCAGAAAAACAAGCGGGGAAGCTAACAACGCCATGGTTACTTGTTCCAGTATTCGGCACGTAAAAATGGACGAGTTCACGAGTATGAAAGGCAATCTCGCTGGAAAGTTTGGGTTTAAAGTAAACTCCAGCGGGTGAAGTTTTTAACTTGAAGGAAGTTCAC